GTTTAGTTGTAGTGTATGTATCAAATTTAGTTGTACCATGGACGAACTACGATCGGCAAAGATTCGAGTGAAGTCCAATTTCACGAATATCAAACGTGGAATACTGACAAAGCTGCACAGTGAGACCACGCCCATAGACGCCAGAGACCTGAACGCTGGGATAGATGCACTGAACAATGCGGCAGAGGAGGCAGTGCGAGTGATGCTTGAGCTGTGCAAGCTGATGAGAGCGGCAGGTCGCCCTACTGAGGCAATATACGATGAGCTGGACGAGCTCCAAAGCAAGTACGATAACGTGTTAGAGCAGGCCAGCGAAGTGCTCGCCGAGATATGCTCTTCGCGGCCCAGTCGTGGAGGGAGATCTCCAGCGGGCAAGGAGCGAGCCCAAAGAATTAGGGAAGTGCGGGATCTGCTGCAAAGATCGGAGATCGTTGCTGAGAGCAAGGCTGACGAGGAGGAAAAAAGTGAACAGGCACCAGAAAAAGAAAAAAAAGAGAAATTTATGCATACTGTGCCGAAGCGAGAACCGCACCAGGGACCTGTCGGTCTGGAGTCAGGACTCTTACCGAGTAGTCTATCTGGGTCGTCGGCACCGAGTTCCTTGAGTGGGACTGCTGCCAGCTCGGGGACTGCTGCCAGCTCGGGGACTGCTGCCAGCTCGGGGACTGCTGCCAGCTCGGGGACTGCTGCCAGCTCGGGGACTGCTGCCAGCTCGGGGACTGCTGCCAGCTCGGGGACTGCTGCCAGCTCGGGGACTGCCGCTCGCGCTCCGAGTGGCAGTAGTACTAGTAGCAGTAGTACAAGTACGTCGGCTAGTTCTGTGCCTGCTGCGGCTCCCATCAGTACGTCCGCTAGTTCGGTGCCTCCTGCTGCTCCCATCAGTACGTCGGCTAGTTCTGTGCCTGCTGCGGCTCCCACCAGTACGTCGGCTAGTTCTGTGCCTGCTGCCGCCTTTAGTAATAGTATGTCGTTGAGGTCTGTGCCGGCTGTTGTAACAGCTTCAAGGGGCATAACCTCGGTTGTAAACTCGGGTCAGGCTGGACCACTGACAGCCAGTGGCGGAGGCAGAGCCACCAGTCAGCCTGTAAGAGCACCAGTGACCAGTACTAGCCTTCCGCCAGCAGTGTCAGCACCGAGTGTAGCAGCACCAGCACCATTCGCAGCACCAGCAGCGTTCACAGCACCTGCACCGTACGCAAACTTTCCACCAGGTGGAATGGTAGAGCCATGGCGGCAGATGCCACGAGTCGGCATTCCAGTTTTCACCGGAAACCGCAAAGAGTACGAGCAGTGGCGAGCTGCCTTCAACGCATGCGTAGATGTCTCGCCAGCCAACGATGCGTACAAGCTGCTGCAGTTGCGTACTTACCTGAAGGGTGAGCCGCTGGAGACGATCAGTGCCCTCGGGTACTCGCCAGCAGCTTATGCAACGGCAAAGGCGAAGCTTGAGCGCAAGTACGGCGGCAGTCGAAGACAAATTGCTCTGCAGCTGGAGGACATTGAGAGAATGCCAACCGTCCGCAGTGGTCGCCAGCGCGAACTGGTGCGGTATTCTGAGCTGCTGGAGATCGCAATAGTAAACTTGACGGATGCGGGGCGTTCCCATGAGCTGGGTCCGGGAACTCTGTATAACCAGCTGCTGCGAAAGCTGGATGAGAAGCTGATCGCGCAGTATCAGCGTTGGCTATTCGTGCAACAGCAGCCAGAAACAGTCACCATATTAGCAGTGTGGCTGGAACAAGAGGCAGAGTTCCTGACTGTGGCAGCAGAAACGGCAGACGGGATCAGCATATCCCAGCCAGCAGCGTCAGCACATGCGCCTGCCAACCGGCCAGCTAAGCCAGGATCTCACCCATACAACAGATCGTTTGTGGCTCGTAGCGGAAAGTCGTGTGAAGTGTGCGGCGATGTCCATGGCGTGTGGCAGTGCGACCAGTTCAAAGGAATGACTGTTGTAGAGCGCTGGGTCAAGGCCAAAGCAGCGCGTCTGTGTTATCGGTGTCTGGCGAGTGGTCACCGCGGCAATGACTGTGAACGGACGAGAGTTTGCGGCGTTGATGGTTGCGACTCCACGCACCATAGGCTCCTGCACGGGCAGCAGCAGATCAAGAACAGAGATCCGCCCCAGGACAGACCAAGCACAAAGAAGCAAGGTGTGTACCTCGCCACTGAGGGGGAGGCGCAGGAGTCTCAAGCAGCAGCAACGACCATGAAAGCCAGTGGCGCTGGGAATTTGGCTTTGCGAACCGTACCAGTCATGATCGGCAATGGCAACAGACGTGTGCGTATCAATGCTCTACTGGACGACGGCAGCACGCAGACGTATGTCAGCGCCAGAGTAGCAGCAGAACTTCAGCTAAGTGGACCAAGCTCCAAGATATCAGTCGGAGTACTAAACGGACAGCGCTCAACGTACGACACCCAGGACGTCGACGTGCAGCTCAGCAGCGTAGATGGCAGCTGGGAGCGCAAGATCCAGGCGAATACGCTACAGCAAATCACTGACGACATGCACGCAGTGAATTGGTCAACAGAGCAGCGGCATTGGCCACATCTTAAGGAAGTGACATTTGCCAGCTTGCCGAAGCGTAGAGAGGTAGATATGCTCATCGGCATTGACCAACCAGACATCCATTGTGCGCTGGAGGAGATACGTGGAGCTCCTGGAGAACCTGTGGCGCGTCTGACAGTGTTAGGGTGGACATGTGTCGGGCCCACGACGTCGACAATGGCTAGATCGTCATTGCTCCAGTACAGCTATGCGTCAGTGGTACGAGACCAGTCAGATGTAAACACAGAGCTCAACCGCACGAGGGCGAGTGGTACCAACCCGTCATTTCTACGCAGTGACTCAGCCGACTGGCCGACATTGCCAGCAGGTCCACCGACAGCCCCGAGCGCTGAAGAGTTTAAGCAGAGCAGCGCAGCGGAAGCAGTGAGCTCCGTAACTGTTGCACAGCCGCCAGGATTTCGCCTGAAGCCCGAGCGATATTCCGATTGGTTGCGTCTCGTGCGAGTGACAGCGTGGGTTATGCGCTTCATCGGCAACTCCGCTGGCCGGACTCGCATCACCAGTGAACTGACAGCAGCAGAGATCAGTGACGCCGAGCAACTGTGGATCGCGCAAGCTCAGAGCGAGGCGTTTAGCGACGAGCTGAAGAGTGTGCGCAACAAGCAAGTAGTGCCAGCCAGATCAGCGCTACTGAAGCTCAACCCCAAGGTCGACGCAGATGGGTTGCTGCGATGCGACGGCAGGACGCAGTACGCCGAGTGGCTGCCACACAACGTGAGATTTCCAGTGATCTTGCCACGCAACCATCACATCACGCAGCTTATTGTGAAGCACCATCACGAGCTGCAGCAGCATGGCGGCACGAACCAGACGCTGTCGTCGCTAAGCTCAACGTTCTGGGTAGTGTCTGCCCGTGAAGCCATTCAAGAGTGGGTGCCAGCCCTGAACCGCCGGACCAAGTGGCCGCATGCACAGAAGAGCCTGCAACCTGATGATGCCGTTCTCGTACTGCAGTCGGACACTCCGCTTGGACCGTGGCCTCTGGGACGTGTGGTCAAGGTGTTCCCAGGAGCGGATGGCAAGGTGCGTGTCGCCGAGGTAGTGGTGTGCGGCAAGCGCTACGCTCGCCCGATTACTTAGCTGAGCCCACTGGAGTTCTAAGCAGTGTTGATCCGTGGTCTGATCAAGAGGGGGAGAATGTTCTGAAGACAGTATGCAGTGGTGTGCGTTCTGTGTGTTTTCTGTGCGTTCTCTGTGCGATCTGTGTGCGCTCTGTTCTCTTGTGTATTCCCTGTGCGATCTGTGTGTTCTTCATGTACTGTGCAGAAGACTCCAGATATTGTAGAATTTACGAGTGTCACTATTATTTATCTACTGTGTTTATTCTATATTTTGTTAATCCTTCGTTCTTCCGAGAGCACAGTCAAAGCGTTTACTAGGAGTTAGTTACTAGTACATCACTGATTGTTACAAGCAGTTTACAGGTTACAAAACAGCTGGTGTTGTTTCTAAGTTGATTATCTCGAATTCGAATTGTTACTTATCTTTGCATTCCTTCAGAAAGTCCGTTCTGCAGCTCTAGTCCGTCCTAGTGTAGGTTCTGCTCTGACAAGGCTTGCCTTCACCCTGTGGGTGCTAACACTCTCTGACAGGACATGGTTGAAATTGCTTTGAGTTCCCATCAGCACAGATCTTCGTTTTCCTTGTTCTTTGAACTTCCTTTGACTTCTACTTTCGAATTTCACCGTTTGTATTATTTTCTGACTTTTCTTGATTTTCCATTATTTTTGTCCACTGCGTGCCAGTACAGCTTGTGTATCGTCATGGCAGCGTGACATCATTGTTTTTCTCATATGCATGCACGTGATCTACGCATTTCTTCTTTGGAGCGCTGTGTGCCACGTAGCTTTGCGTGCGCCAGTGTCTTCGTTGTTGAGAGTTCTTGAGAAGACGAGCAAGTTGTCGTTTCGGTTTCTGATGTGCGGTGGAAAGCGTCTCCACGCGTACATGGAGGCTCATGTTAGCATCCTGTCGTCGTGTTGTCGTATTGGAGGGGAGAAATTCGCGTCAGGGAGCGGACGGACGAAGTATCGTGTGGCAGATCATACTGAATCCATGTTGGCAGTGTTAACTTTCATCTCAATGTGGATGAAACCAAATACACCCTGAGCATTTTTGCCACAATTGAAAATTGGCCATGGAATGCACTGCTACTGCCAGGGGCCCAAAATTCTCTGGAGCTCCACCGCTCAAAGACTGGGAGCCACACTG